GCAGAGGGAAATGAAAAATTGCGTTATTTGAAAGAACAAAATGGATTCATAATCAGGAGAATGAAATAAATTTCTTAGCATAATAAGAAACACAACCAGGCTGTGGTTGCGCATGCCTTTAATCCCAGCACTCAGGAGGCAAGGCAAAGGCAGGTGGATCTCTCTGAGCTTGAGGCCAGCCTGGTCTACAGAGCGAGTTCCAGATCATCCAGGACTACACGAGAAATTCTGCCTCCAAGAAAACAAACAAGAAAAAGAAAAAAAGAAAACACTTAAGTTTGGTGGCTCAATATTATAATGCAGATTGTGTTTTTATAAAATGGAACCATAATTTATATGTATTAATAGTAATAAATCTAAAGAACTTAGGAAAAAAGCTAATTCATAAAAGTTTTGCCGGAATTTCACTCAGGAATGGAAACTGTTTTGGAAAACATAAAAAGCCAAAATTTAAAATTTTTAAATATCCTGTTGATAATAAATCATAATTTCATCTCCCCCTCAGTAGAGCTACAGCTTTAATACAAGCCCATTAGAGAAATAGAGAGTTCATGAAATTGGATTTCTGCTTTTAAGTGTGTAGGAAGAACAAAGGGTCACAAAAAGACACGATGGCGCTGGAGAAATCAATACAGGAAGCTCACCCTAGCCAACAGCCGGACTTGTTTTCAGTATGGCTCATAGCTCAAATGATAGACCCAGAGTAGAAAGCGCTGAAATGGATCTTATGCATATGGAAATGTGTAAGACACTGCATCGATCCATGAAGACCTGCACTGTAGCTCTGTGAGGAAAGGAAAGAAACCAAACAGAGAGAAACCCAGAATACATGTTATCTCTACATACCATACCAAAGAATAAATTCCAGGGAATACATCTTTTAACTTTTTAAAGATTTATCCTTATTCACATGGAGGTTTCTGTGTATTGTACGTGTAAGCCTGCAGAGGCTAGAAGAGGCTTAAGGTTCCCCTGGGGCTGCAGGTGTAGGCAGTGCGAGTCAGCTAATGTAGCTACTGGGATCTGAATGCAGATCCTCTAGAAGAGCAGCAAGTGCTCGTTTTGTTTGCATGTTATTTATTTTGTATCTATGCATGTGCTGTTGCATATGTATAGAGGTCAGATGACAGCTTTTGAGAGATGGTTATCTCTTTCTACTTTGTAGATCCTGAGTACTGAACTCAGGCCATCAGTGACTTTAATTGCTGAGTGTGTCTTCACCACTTTCTTTCCTTTTTTTTAAAATTGATTTTATTGAGCTCTACATTTTTCTCTGCTTCCTTCCCTGCCTCTCCCTTCCCCTTCAACCCTCTCCCATGGTCCCCATGCTCTCAATTTACTCAGGAGATCTTGTCTTTTTCTACATTCCACGTAGATTAGATCCATGTATGTCTCTCTTAGGGTCTTCATTGTTGTCTAGGTTCTCTGGGATTATGATTTATGGGATGGTTGTCTTTGCTTTATGTATAAAAACCATTTAGGAGTGAGTACATGTGATAATTGTCTTTTTGGGTCTGGGTTACCTCATTCAATATGATGTTTTCTAGCTCCATCCATTTGCCTGCAAAATTCAAGATGCCTTTATTTATTTATTTTCTACTATGTAGTGTTCCATTGTGTAAATGTACCACATTTTCTTTATCTATTCTTCAGTCAAGGGGCATTTAGGTTGTTTCCAGGTTCTGGCTATGACAAACAATGCTGCTATAAATATAGTTGAGCCCATGTCCTTGTGGCATGATTGAGCATCCTTTGGATATATACCCAAGAGTGGCATTGCTGGGTCTTGAGAAGGTTGTTTCCCAATTTTCTGAGAAATTGGTACACTGACAGCCAAAGGGGCTGTACCAGCTTGCATTCCTACCAGCCATGCAGAAGTGTTCTCTTTTCCCCACAACCTCTCCAGCATAAGTTGTCATCAGTGTTTTTGATGTTGGCCATTCTTACAGGTGTAAGATGGAATCTCAGAGTTGTTTTGATTTGCATTTCTCTGATAACTAAGGATGTTGAGCATTTCCTTAAGTATCTTTCAGTCATTTTAGATCCCTCTGTTGAGAGTTCTCTGTTTAGGTCTGAGTACAGACCTTTCTTATTGGATTTTCTTATTGTACATTTTCCTACTGGATTATTTGTTCTTTTGATGACCAATTTCTTGAGTTCTTTGTATATTTTGGAGATCAGACCTCTGTCTGATGTGGGGTTAGGGAAGATCTTTTCCCATTCTGTAGGCTGTAGTTTTGTCTTGTTGACATTGTCCTTTGCTTTACAGAAGCTTTTCAGTTTCATGAGGTCCCATTTATTAATTGTTGCTCTCAGTGTCTGTGCTACTGGGGTTATATTTAGAAAGTGGTATCCTGTTCCAATGTGTTCAAGTGTACTTCCCACTTTCTCTTCTATGAGGTTCAGTGTGGCTGGCTTTATGTTGGGGTCTTTGATCCATTTGGACTTGAGTTTGCAGCAAGTGCTCTTAACAGCTGAGCCATCTCTCCAGCCCATCCAGAGGGTTAGAAATAGATTTAAAAAGAAGTGGGGTTGAGGAGATGGCAGAGTCAGTGAAAGGACTAAATGATCAAAAGAACCTGAGTTCAAGCCCAGCATCCACATAAAAGGCTGGGCACAGTGGTACTTGCCTGTAATTCCAGTGCTAGGGACACAGAGACAGGAGGATCTCTAGGGTTCACTAGCCAGCCAGTCTATCTGAATGGGCAAGTTTCGGGGTTAATGAGAGATCCTATCTTAAAAAGCATGTGGAGGTCTGAGGATGTAGCTCATTTGTAGCTCATCTAGTCTGCACAGAGCCCCGGGTTCAATCTCCAGCACTGTGTAAACCAGGCCTGGTGACTCATGTCTATAATCCTAGTGCTCAGCAGATGGAGGCAGGAGGCTCCAAAGCCCAAGGTCATCCTCAGCTATGCTGAAAACTGGAGAGCAGCGCTACATCATCATCATCATCATCATCATCATCATCATCATCATCATCATCACAAAAACATGGAAAATGATTGAAGAAGACACTTGACATTGATCTCTGGCTTCCCTGTGTACATGCAAAGTACACAAACACATGCACATACATTTACACAGAAAAAAAATACAATTCAAAACTCAAAGGATCAGAAGAACACTGTAGGATAATGTCTGTCTAATCTTTGGACAGGATTTCCAAAACAAGGCGCAACAAGTTTATGCAGAATATGGATTAACTCAGACTACAGTGAGGTGAATCATTGCTGTTCATAGATGAGACCACAAGGGAGGAGAGACAAACCACAAACTGGGGTATGAGATTAGTCGCCCATTGAGGACGGAATACAAAATGACACAAACTACATTAAGGATGCCCGCAAACTAATGAGAAAGTAAAAAGCCCATAAAATAGGCGGAAGACCACGAATGGTCACAGGGAAAGGGAAATCTGAGATCCGATAGGTACACCAAACTTTCTCCAGTTTCCTGGTCATCAGAGAGGTGAAATTAAATTCGTAATGAAAAACCGTTTTGCTCCCAAACCATTGGCAAAATGTCTCAAGGATGCTCAGTGTTACGTGTTGGCAAGGATGTGGAATAAGAAGTATGTCTCTGGAGCAGCCGAGAGTGCACAGTGGCCAACGCCTACACACAACATTCCAGGCTGAATTCGTGTGAGATGAACATTTGCTTGCTGTGTGAGCCACTGACTCTCCTTCCTTACATAAAAGAGAAGCCCTTGTCCACACACTCCAGAGGCCCCATCAAAAATGTTCCCCAGGAAGTTGGTGAGGTGACTCATTGCTTAGTATGCTTACTGCTTTTCTAGGGCCCATGTTGGGCAGTTCACATCCACTTGTAACTCCAGCTAAAGGGACGCTGATACCTTCTTCTGGACTGTCAGGCACCTGCACTTACATGTACACACACAATTTTCTTTTTTTTTCTTTTAATTTTATGTGTATTGGTGTCCTGGAGAGTACCTGGAACTGGAGTTACAAACAGTTGCGAGCTGCCATGCGGGTGCTAGGAATTGAACCAGGGTCCTCTGGAAGAACAGCCAGGGTTCTTAACTGCTGAGTCATCTCTCCAGCTCCTGACATGCACATTTTTTTTTAAAAAAATAAGATTCATCTATTTATTATGTATACAGTGTTCTACCTGCATGTATTCCTACATGCCAGAAGAAGGCACCAGATCTCATTACAGATGGTTGTGAGCCACCATGCAGTTGCTGAGAATGAACTCAGGATCTCTGGAAGAGTAGCAGTGCTCTTAACTACTGAGCCATCTCTCCAGCCCCCAACATGCACATTCTTAATGATAAAAATAAAATCTTTAAAAGATATTTATGAAGGCACTCACTCTAGTTGTAAGAACTCAGAATTCAAAAAGTCATCATTAAATGCTAAGTTTCATATTCATACATTGGACTGATTATAACGGACTGTAAATATGAACTGAAGACTACAGACGTCACACGGGTGAATCTGGGAAATGTATTAGGGGCACAAGTGAGTCAGAAAATAAAACAAAATATTTTGCGGCCACTTGTATAATTTAAAGCAAAACCTAAAGCAAGTTGGGAGGAAAGGGTTTATTTAGCTTACACTTCCAGATCATAGTCCAACACTGGAAGAAATCAAAACAGGAGCTCAAGCAGGGCTGGAACTTGGAAGAGGAACTGATGCAGAGGCCATGGAGGGGGTTGCTTATTGGCTTGCTCAACCTTCTTTCTTATAGAACCCAATGACCAACCCAGGGATAGCACCACCCACAATGGGCGGGGCCTTTCCCCATCATTCACTAATTAAGAAAATGTCTTACAGGCCTTTCTACAGCCCAATCTTATGGAGGCATTTTCTTAACTCTTAACTGAGGTTTCCTCCTCGTAGATAACTTTAGCTGGTGTCAAATTGACATAAAATGAGCCAATGCTCATGCTTTGGTATTCATTTTTTTTTTTTGGCAGACTGGATGTGAGATTTATTACTGAACATGATTTGGTAGGCTACAGAAGAGCACTGTGAAAGCCCTCAGGAGTGTAGGGCTCGCCACTTGTCCAGGGGACCACGATTAGGAATATATTTGACCCCACAGCCATCAGGAATGAGTCGCTTCTCAGCAACCATGTCTTCAAATTCATCTGCATTAAACTTAGTAAAGCCCCATTTCTTTGAGATGTGGATCTTCTGGTGGCCAGGGAACTTGAACTTGGCTCTACGAAGAGCCTCAATCACATGTTCCTTATTCTGCAGCTTAGTGCGGATGGACATGATGACCTGGCCAATGTGAACCCTGGCCACTGTGCCCTGGGGCTTCCCAAAGACACTATGCATGCCTGTCTGGAGCCTACACTGGAGACAGCATTGAGATCAGAGACTTGAATAAGTGCCAGAAAATTGTCTCCAAGGTCCCTTGGGGCAACCCATACAGGTAACAGGCTGCATACGCTACCAAGGAGGCTGCTGTTTGCAACCATTGCACACCAGGACCCCAAGGGGAAAGGGACCAGTTCATGTCTTAAATATGGAGGACAGAGGCTGAGCATGATCGTAGAGTCTCCTAACAGACTGCCATAATTCCCTGCCTCTGGCTCTGGGCCTGGATGCCTTCCCAACCTCCAGAGATGACTCACTTCCACTCCCCTCGAAACTGATCATGTTTTATGACTTGCCTTTATCAACAAAATACTGCCCAGTAATACGCTGGAACTCCCAATCCCAGGCCTCAAGGACTGGTGGCTTATGTATCCTTTCCCTTATAACTCAGCTGATGAACTTTCAGGTACCAGGGAAGACTACTGAAGATCAGTGGCCCTTGGAGGCTGAGTCCATCTTGTATGTCCAGCTCCAGTCAAGCTTCCCCAGCTGAACACAAAGCGGGCGTAATTAGTTACTGCTGTCAAGCTATGTCCATCACCAGCCTTGGCTGTCAGCTTGTTCTCAAAGACACCACCATCAATAGGAAGAAAATGAAAGCTATTCTAAAACTGGTCCTGAGAAGAGAAAGAAGTGTGGTTCCCCAGAGCGCTGTCTTGGAGAGCTGGGGTACAAGGATTTCCATAGAGCGGAAAAGGGGGCACAGTGTGCAGAATGGTGAATGCCCGATAAGGTGCAGTGGGGTCTGTCACTGTCTTCTTCATCCATGGTGTGGATTTCCTCTTTCTGCCTTTCGGTCAGAACATGATTATTAACCTGGACCACCAGAGGCTATGTCCTGCATTTATTTATGCAAACATAGTTGATTGTCTGCAAGTTAAGCCTCAAAGCACTTTATATGTTTTATTAGTTGGTACAGAAAACTGAAGAAAGGGGCCAGGGAGATGGTGCAATAGTTAAGAGTGTGTATTGCTCTTTGCAGAGGACAGGAATTCGAGTCTGAGCACGTATGTTGGACAGATCACAGTAACCTGTAACTCCAGCTCTAGTGGATCTGATGCCCTCTTCTGGCCTCTGCAGGCATTTCCACCCATGTGTGTTTTACACACACACACACACACACACACACACACACACACACCTTTAAAAAGTAGAGCTTAAACTGGGCAGTGGTGGCGCACACCTTTAATCCCAGCACTTGGAAGGCAGAGGCAGGCAGATCTCTGAGCTAGTTCCAGGACAGGCTCCAAAGCCATAGAGAAACCCTGTCTCGAAAAAACAAAACAAACAAAACGAAACAAAAAAAGCCTATACACTCTGATACACTCTTGAGTTCTGGACATCTACAGAAAAATTATTCAGCAATCAATATATTTATTGATTGATTGATTTATAGACAGGGTCTCTCTGAACTCGCTCTGTAGACCAGAGCCGGTCTTGAACCCACAGAGATCCACCCGCCTCTGCCTGCCAAGAGCTGAGATTAAAGGCCTGAGCCACCTTACCCTGCTCAACTATTAACATATTAATCGTGTAGGGGTGGGGTCTGTCTTTAACATTTAGAAAGGTGGGAAAGGGAGGGGACATTGCTTTTCAAAGGACAACTTGCAGAGTGGCTATGTGACAGTCTTAAATCTGGTGGGCTTCTAGGACACATCACTTAGTACGTTTCCTATCTTATGGATAACACCACACTAATGATGTCAAGTATTTCGAATGTAACAAATGCTTCATGATACGAACCACACCACCAAATGAAAACTCCAACCCTGACTTGATGTGTAAAAATGTTCTCACTAGTTTTGTTCTGTGTTCTTCACAACTGCAATTAAACATCTCAACCTATTCACAAAAACAAACAAACAAAAAGCTCTGAAGTGAGGTGGTGGCGGTGGGGGCACACTCCTTTAATCCCAGTGCTCCGGAGGCAGGAGGATTTCTGTGAGTTCAAGGCCAGCCTGGTCCACAGAGTTCCAGGACACACAGAAACCCTGTCTTGGAAAAAAAAAATGAAACAAAACCCCCAAAAAAAAAAACCAAAACAAAACAAAACAAGCACAAATTAACGAACAAAAAGGCGCACACTATTAAGGAGCACAGCCCTTTACATTCTGTTTATAGTTTCCTCCCGAGACTCTCGCCATATATAAATGTAAACTTCATTAATTCTCAGTGGGGATGGTGCTTATATTACACCTAATTATTTTCCTTTATCTTATGTTTAAAACTTGAATCAATTTTGTTCAGGGAGGCAGGATCCAGGTTTATTCGGTCAAAATGGCTAATGGGTTGTTTCACTGAAAATTACACACATGTTCCCACTAACCTGAAATGCCATGGGAAACCATGTATTAAATTTCCCTGTAATTTAAGCCAATTCTGGGTCCCCCACTGCGTCCCACTCTTCTTTTGCCATCCCAAACCCGGTAATTATTGTCATTTGTCCTGTGATGTATGTGAAGGGTAGTTCTTTGACCTCTGTGGGATTTATCTGGCTTTTGTTTACTTTCTCCCAAGAACCGAATGGGTCAAGTTCAAAAGCAAATCTGGCAAGCCCTTTGGCAGACTGCATTATATGTAGGATATAAGCAAAACAAATCATACCGGAGGTCCTGTGTCCAGATAAGGTATGTCTGTATGAATTTGACCCTCTTGTGTCCCTTGAGAGGTGTTGACATTGTGAACAGCACCAGGTTGTGGGTCCCCACCCACCCTCAATCCCAGGGCACCGATTCAGTTTTGCCACCTGTGTCCACTTAGCTAAGGCCCTAGCCAGCTCTCTTTGCCTCCTTCCCTGGAGGACATGACCCTGTGACTATTTCTGATCCACCAAGAACAATTGCTAATTTCCTAGGCATTGTGGCAAATACGACGCTGTCCTTGTGCCTGAGGATGTGCAACAGTGATGTCATCTGTCACAACCCCTACAGCAGGTGCTCTGTCTGCACTGAAGAGCAGCCTGACCTTGAGCGCTTTCCTGAAGCTCTCTAGATACTTCCGGCTACAAATGTGAGCACTTGTCAGGCACAGTCCAGGGGATCTAGAAGACAATGGAGGGGACACCCCACCCCACACTCCCTTGCTGACTTAGGGAATGCCAAGGCTCATTGGTTTCTCCCTGTCCACTACCCCCCCTACTTTGTCCTCAGAGAACCCACAACCCATAAGATACCCCCCCTAACTAGCCACAACACCAGGGCCAAAGTCGAAGCTTTTTTTTTTTTTTTTAATTTTCTAGACACTTCTGAAAAGAGATCTAATAGAGAAAATATACAAAGCATTTGAGTGCTTCACTGCCATGGAGAACCCAGGTCTGACCCGAGGCACCAAAGCCTCACCCAGGTGGCCAGCTCGAACATCGTTATAAACATGCAGGAGGAGGAGAAACATCACGCACCCCTGGACAGAGGGGCTGGATCCAGAACGGAAGAGGAAGCAGGGACCAAAGTACCAGGTGGCTCTCCTTCCCGCCTCCATCGTTCACAGAAGCCAAGGCATGGAGGATGCATGGGCTTCATCCGCTGCCCAGGGCCTGTAGCTTACCACAGCTGTACCCACCTGCTCCTGGGCTCCTAGGTGCCAGACCAGGGCGGCCCAGCTCCTCCTTTCTTTGGTTCCACTCAGAACAATTGTGCTTGGCAGACTCATTCCCACCCTCAAACTCCAGGCTCCTGCTGGTAGGATGAAGGCCCTGACCCCAGGATAGCCACCTTCTCTTGGGCTCTGACAGGTCCAACCCAGGACACATTTCCCCATCCTACGTCCACACTTAGGCCTCAGAACCAGGAGAACGGAGGAAGAAGTGTGCTGTGCAAGAAAAAAAAGTCTTTCGGGACTTCCCCAAATGTGGGGGGCTATTCTGAACCCCATGCCAGGCCTTGCCCCTGCCCTCCCTTTAGTCCTTCCCCTTGGCCCAGCCACTGGGGAGCTGACTTAAAACAATGGGTTACGGAAACCATCTTGGGCAACTGTCCCCTCCCGCCTCACACCTGAAAGACAAGCAGTCTCAGAGGTCCCCTCGAGAGATCACAGCCCTGGTACGGGGATTAGGATGGGGCTGGGGCTGGGGCTGGAAAGGGTAGCGGGACATGTCACGTCTATGGAAAAGTGCCCAAGTTACAAGCTAATAAGCAAAGGGAGGAGGGGGGCCAGAGAGTGGCCAGAAGGAGAGAGAAGAGGGCAGGGGTGGGCCTAGACAGAAGGCCTCACACCACCCCGCAGATGAGCGTCTCCACCACAAAGGTGTTCTCAAAGTGGCGGATGGCATTGCAGTCCTTGGCCCCACGTTTGTTGATCCCTGGGAAGAAAGAGAAAAGTCCCCGTTAGGCCTCTGTCCAGGCCCAGAAAGGTGGTCCAGCCCCTGAGCCTGAGAGAACCCTGGGACCTGGGAAACCCAGAAAGTGATATACCAAAACAGCGCCATGAGGTAGGGGGAGCTCCTAAATCCGGCTCAACAGGTGCCTACCACTGCTCTGCTATAAATCCTTAGGGGTGCTACTTTAGCCTGTGTGCCTCAGTTTCCTTTAAAAGGCACAGTTAGAATAAAAATGATGCTGATAACAATGAGGGTGAAGTAAGGGAATCCCCGGCACGTCTTAAGTGCTTGATTGACATTTGTTGCGGTTAGGTCATAACTATTGCTGGGACAGCTGGGGCAGGTCCCTGTCAGAGGCTGCCAGCTTTGGCGCTGGGGCAGGTCCCTGTCAGAGGCTGCCCGCTTTGGCACTGGGGCAGGTCCCTGTCAGAGGCTGCCCGCTTTGGCGCTGGGGCCATCTGTCACTCACGCCTCCGGGTGGCCCGGCGTCGCAGTCGGTAGGTGTCCTTCCCGTTGCACAGATGGTAGATGAAGGAACCCAGAGCCTCCTTGTCACTGACATGCTCCGTTACCACCATCTCCTCCTGGATGATGTACGTCTGTGGGAGGTACGTCCCTCTCTGCGGATTTGGGGCGGGGAGTGGCGTCAAAGCGCAGGGTCGGCACCTAGGCCCCTCCTACTGCACACAGTCCTTTCTCACTCCCAGAAGCCCTTTGGTACTCCAGGCTGCTGCCCATCCTATACTGTGGTGAGCTTTGGCAAGTGTGCACATCTGGCCTCCCACCTGAAGGGAAATGCTCCTAGGGCTAGGGCCTGCATTCGCTCCCCTCACTGCTGACCCAAAGCATGAACCTGAATGCTAAGGAAGCCACTTGGAGTTCTGTGAGTTGGGGAGAGGAAACAGAGAAATGGCTCTGAGGATGTGGCTAGAGAATAGTGGAGAAGTGATCTTTTGGGGGTGCAGGGACTCCCCCTTTAGGGAAGGGGACAGGTACAAACAAGATACTGCCACCTACCTTCACATTCATGAGGAGTTCCCAGAAGTTTCGCGGGGGTAGCACAATGGTGGTGTTGAGTTCGATGACGTAGCACTTGTCCAGGGAGATGTCGTGGTAGGCAGTGAGACCCTGAGAGGGAGAGAGTTTAATGATTTTTTAAAATGCTGGGAGGACCCCGGTGGAAGTAGGCAGGCAGTGGGCTCTGGGAGCAGCCAGTCCCAGGCAGAGACCGCTGCTGATTCCCTAGTGGAGGTTGGTCCCGGGCAGAGAGACACGTGGTGGGTGGGCAGGAGACAGAGACATGGATAGATACAACATGTAGAGTGAGGTTGAATATTTATTTAGGGGGTTATGGAAGGGGAAGGGAGAAAGGGGGGCAGAGAGAGAGAGAGAGAGAGAGAGAGAGAGAGAGAGAGAGAGAGAATGAGAAAGAGAATGAGAGAGAGAGGAGAGGAGAAAAGAGACAGAGAAGAGGGGAAGCTGAGAGAGGGAAGAGCACCAAGAGGGGACAGTGAGAATTCAAGATGGTGAGAGGAAGGAGGGGCCACCGGGAGTGGGCGTGGCTTGCCTTTTAAAGAGCCAAAAACCATAACAGAGAATATCTGTCAGTCTCTGTGGAAGGCAAAGGCCTGGACCAGGCCAGCGTACTGGAAGCTTTCAGTCAGCTGAGGCCTGAGTCCTACTGTGCCATCAATGGGGCCTGGGATCTCAGAAGTGGCACCCCTCCCCCACCCCCCAAGCTCCTGCTCCTCTCTGGACTGGTGGATCTGTCTGGGGTTTCCAGAGCTAGGTGAGGATAAGGGCACATGACTTTATCCCACCATGCATTTCATCAAAGTGGTGAGGTGTAGTTCTCCTTGGGGAGAAAGCTGTCCTGGGACATAGGAGCAATGTTCCTGGCCACCTCCAACCCCCCAGCAAGGTCCCTTGTCTCAGGGAGGAATGCTACACCCAAGGACCCAGAGATCATTGCTGCAGAACACCCAAGGGAAAGCAGGGTTAACGGCATTGGCTAATAGGTTCTGGGAGGCCTAGGGAAGAAGGCTGGGGCCTATGTCTCACTGATCTCAAAAGCAGTCGGAGGCGAGAGCGGTGACCTCAAGGAGGAAGGAACTGACTGGAAAAAAGCAAGAGGGAACCTTCCAGAGTGCTGGCAGCGAGCCCGACTTTGATCTGGGTGGCGTTACACAAACAGACTCCCACTCAGCTGGACACTCTGATGGTGGATATACAAATGCGAGCAGCCCGGGACCTTTGGCCCCACAAGGACGGTCAACCCTAGTGACTGTCAAGCAGAGGACAAAGCAGTACACTCCCACTCCCAATGTACCATTGGCAATAACTAACAGTAGAACCTTCATAATAAAAGCCGTATCTAAGGGCCAGTCAAGGTGACCAAAGACACCTGCTGTACAGTTTATACACAACCCAAGGAGTCTCTGGTGTTCTTACTCCTTGCTCTGGGTTCCCAGAACACTCTCTACTGCCCCACCCCAGCTCCAAGCCACCTACAAGTCACCCATAAACCAGCCTCACCCGCTGGAAGTCATGGATGATGTCTGCAGGGTCCCCACCACCAAACTGGGGCACGGGGACATTGATACGCTCATAGTTCTCCTCAAGATAGATCTTCACATCTTCCTCCAGCTCCATCCGAGTCCGGATCTGGGAGGACAGGGAGTCTTCATAGAGCACGCCACAGTGGAAGAGGTTATCCCGGGCCAGCTGCACAAAGTGAGGGGAGAGACAGACGGTCACACAGGGTGATGACACGGCCACGAGGCCTATCTGCCTACTTCAGACCTGGGAGGCAGGAAGGGTGGGGGACCTAAGACTTTCTCAGAGCTGGGGAAACAGAAGAATGGGGAGGTAGGCTAGAGCTCAGGTCTGCAAGGGAGGAGATAAGCTGGGTCTTGGAGCAGTCACTTCAACCTCACAAATGAAGGGCAGATAAACAGGGTCTTAGGTGGAAGACTACTCTGAGCCTGAGTTTCCCTATCTGTAAAGGGATCCTGAAGGTCTACCTGGCCTCAAAGCCTTAGTCTATAAAATGGCCAGGCAAACAAGAAGAGAACACACTAGCCCTGTGGCTGGACAGAAGAGCAAATCCTATAGGAGCTTGCACAGGGAGGAGGGACAAGCCACGGAATGACCACCACCAGGGGCCCTCCTGCAGACACATGGGTAGAAGATAAAGTGGGAAGGCGAAGAGCTCTAAGACAGCGCCGCACCCTCCTCATGTTCTTCCCATGGATGCAGCTCACCCCGCTCCTGGCCCTGAGGCCCTACCCATCAGGCAGATGGCTTCATCACCTTTCATCCAGGGGCAGTAGGGTGGCGCTACTGGTGACAACTGAGTGATGGGGGCCACCACTCTGCCTTCTCTAGGGACTCCAAGACATGTAATGGGCAGAATTCCCTCCCCCTTCTCAGTCTGAGGAGAAACATCCTGGCCACACGGGGGCCCTGAGGGCTCAATGAAGCCCAGGGGAGATCTAATGCCTGGGGCAGACCTGATCTGGCTATCAGATCAACCACAGACTATCCCAGGGACAATCTGGAACATGTATGGTCTGGGAAGAAGAGGGGACAGAGCAGGGGCACCACTGAAAAATGCCAAAAGAGAGAGTCCTGCACCAGAGAGGGAGGAGACACCTAGCAAAGGCCAGCCGTGAAGGTATAGGAATTTCACGGGAAATTCCAAAGGTAAGAAAAATGTGGGCGTTGAGGTCTCCAGTGGATGGAGCACAAACTCCCACGCCATTTCTAGTGTGGAAAAACTAGATGACCACAGCCTTAAAAGCTCAAGGGATGTGGGGGTGAGCTGGGTCCACAAAGACCGGAAACCCTAGCCGGTAAGTCGTCCTGAGCGTCCCTGTTGATACATCCATACTTTATCTCTCAGTACTCAAGTATGGTGACCCCTCCTCTTCCCCAGGTCTGGAGGATCTCTAGTGGGTGTGTACTGAGGAAGACAAGCGAGCTCCTCCACAGACCTTCCATTCCTTGAAGCAGGCTGTGGTAAATGATGCAAAACCTGCCCAGGGCTCAAACCCAAAGGTCCATGCAAGGAACAGTTAGGTCATCCGTGAAGTACAACCCCTACATACAGCGTCTGGGCTCCAGAGAGAATCATAAACTCCCAACTTCTCTCCTGGTGACAATGCCCCAGAGCGACACTGGCCACTGGTGGTGGGGGTGGGAGGGGTAGAGACGTAGGGATGCCTGGGTGGAGCCACCTGGACCCTTGCTTGACTCTCCAGAATAAGAGGTGAGCAGACAAGGGGATACTGGAAGGAATGAAGATTGCCCTCTAGGCCTGCCTGGGCCAGGGGCTGTCTACTGTCTCTCTTCATGGGATCCCCATACCCGAGCTCTCCATTGTTCCCACGCCCTCAGCGGACTTCCTTTACATGTCTTGGTGCCACCCTTTCCCCACCCGCCCGCCTGGCTCCTCACCTGAGCAAGGAAGAAGTATCTGTAGATGTAGACAGAGGCAAAGACGAGGCCCATGAGCAGTACGACCATGCCCATGGACAGGTAGCACACGCCACCCACGGAACCCCCTTTCCTGGAGCGGTGGCGAGGGGGGCGTTCCTCCTGTGAACAGAAGTGCCGTGGTCAATGAGGTGTCCCAGACGGTACCACTTTTTTGAATTCCTCGTTCCCTAAGTGAGATCACCCCTCTAGCTGAGCTAGGGGCCCTGGGGGTAGGGGCCAGGAAGGACAACACAGATTGTCTGAAAGAAACGGAACCTTGATAATTTCTCCGGACGCCCTCCCCTCCTAGCTAGAAAGAAAAGGAGACTTGCCTGGAAGCCCTAAAACAATCAGTCTGGATTAAGCACACACACTTTGAACTGCCTGAATTTAGGTCTTGTTACTGAACCAGCTTAACTGCTCTCTGGTCCAGTGGTTCTCAACCTGTGGGTAGCAACCCCTCTGGCAAGCCTCTTTCTCCAAAAAAAAAAAAAAAAACCCAAAAACAAACAAACAAACAAAATAAAAACAAAAAAACCCATTTATATTATGACTCACAATAGTAGGAAAATTACAGTTACAAAGTATCGATGGAAATAATTTTATGGTGTGGTCACCCCAACATGAGGAACTGTATTAAAGGGTTGTACTATTAGAAGGTTGAGAACCAGTGCTTTAGTCATTCAAACATTAAATAGGGCACATCAGGCAGCCCGAGTGACTGGATGAGTCCAAGAAGTTCATGGGAACTAGAATGCATCTGGTAGGCGAGGTGCCACTGTCCTGCAACAGGAAGCCAAGAAATGACAGAACTAAGTTGGGTGGTGGTGGCGCACGGCTTTAATCCCAGCACTTGGGAGGCAGAAGCAGGAGGATCTCTGTGAGTTCGAGGCCAGCCTGGTCTACAGAGCTAGTTCCAGTTCAGCCAGGACTGTTACACAGAGAAACCCTGTCTCGAAAATCTGCCACCCTCTCCCAAAAAAGAATGGGCAGAGCTAGAGGGGGTCAAGATGTGACCCTTAGATTGGAGGCACAGGCTGGACTGGGATGAGGACAGTGGGTGACGGGGGCATGTACCAGTTACTTTTCTCATTGCTGTGGACCCTGTAAGAAACAACCCGAGGAATGTTTGAGTTCACAGTCCATCACGGTGTGGACTTGCACATCACGTGTGGACGGATGGATGCTGGGACTCAGCGCGCTTCCTCCCCTTCCCCTTCAGTCTGGGAATCAGGCTAGGGCTACCCACATTCAGTCTAAGTAGGCTTTCCCCCTCCACTGAACGTCTCTGGGAGAACCTCCACAAACACACGAAAAGGTATGCTTTATTAATGCCCTACGTGTGTCTTAATATAATCAGGCTGACGAGTGAAATCAGCAAATCACAGGCAGGTGTGAAAGCTTCTGGAAACTCCCAGGATGGCTGACTGTGGCAGGCAGGGGCTCTGGGAGGCCCAGAGGATGTGGGCACTGGGGCTTATCTCTAACCGAGTAGCCCTGGGCCTGCCCTGAACTGCTCCTCCACTGTGTCAGGGAAGCCATCATAAGGAGAGTCTACAACTACAAACTTGAAGCATCAGGAAGCTCTCACTCGAGAAGAATCACAACTGTCTGGGAGCCTAGGCTACACAGGAGAACCTGCTTCAGGACGCGGGTTTGGGCTCAGATTACAGGGCACTCAGACCCACCTCCAGGCTACACACGTCTGAGCTGGTAGATGGTCTAAGATATGAGACTCCACGGGACAACTCTACCTAGAACTGAACTTGAGGGCCACCTCTTGGCTATCTTTTTGCATGACCTCCCTTCCCCCACGGTAGCCCAGGCTGGCCTTCAATTACTTGCGGTGATGCTACAGGTATCACCAGGCTTGTTTCTGCCTCTATTGCCCACCACTTACCCTATCTTTTACACCATTCAGACATGACCAAGAGAGGTCAAAGGTCAATATTCACAGACCTCCCTTTCCAGCCTTGAGAAGAAGAAGCTGACTGGGGAATGGAGTTCCTCCATAGGCTTTAAATAAGCAGGTCTGATTGACCCCTTCCTCCAGTTCCAGCCAGGCATTGTAGAACTGGGTTGTTTCTCTTTCTTTCTAGAGGTGTTGGGTGTGTGAGGACATGGTTCTGCTTAGTTACTTAGGACAAGTTTTTATCTCAACACAGCAAACGGGTCCTGGGAAGGCGCAGGAATGGGCTTGGGCCTTAGGAGTAGAGGTGAACCCCACCAGAGGGCCCCACTGTTTGGTACTCTCTAACCCAATCTCTAGGAAAAGGGCAGAAAATGTCTTAGGTTCCCACATCTACAGTTGGGATTCTCCCACAAGATCCAACCTTGGCTACCTTGCACCCTTAAGGAAACGGGTCTAGGACAGCTGATGACCAGAGGGGCAAGGGGCTGCAATGGCTTTGCAACCACACTTTGTGACAGGTCCTATGGGGTGACATCAACATCCAAGCTCCCTCGGTATCTCCCATGAACAAGCCACCAAGACAGCCAGAGGTGCAGCAATGGCCTGCTCCTGTGGTCCTAGGAAAGGTGTCTAGTTGTCTGGTATGGTGGTGGCCAGCACTTGGGAGGCAGAGGCAGGAGGATCTCTGTAAGTTCAAGGCCAGCCCTGTCTACAAGCAAGTTCCAGGACAGCCAGGGCTACACAGAGAAACCCTGTCTTGAAAAACAAAACAAAACAAAACAAAACAAAACAAAACAAAAAGAAAGGTAGCTACCTTTGAGGCAGTAAAGATTGCCCTTTGGGCACAATACATACTGGGACCACAGTGTAGCCACTGGGTCCAGGATAGGGATGGTCCAGGAACCACCAATAATAGGACATCCATCCTGAGGTCATGTGAGGCGACCAGCCCCAGGGAGTAAGAGAGACAATGAACCTGAAAGCTCCTGGTGGAGGACAAAGAATGGGATAAAAATAGTAGATCTGTGGGCCAGGCCTTCCCTTTTTAGGGCCGCTGTGGTGGCAGGCTGTTGAGGCTGCATGGTGTTTGCTCTTGTGTTTCTGGAAAACCAGAAAAGCTAGCTTGGGAAAGCTAGCGAGGGAATCAAATAGGATTGGGGGAGGGGGCACAAGTGAACTACAAGTAAGAGCCTGCTAAGCACATAAAAATCACAGGCAAGCTGAGGCCTTCCAGCCGACTTCTGCAAGCCTTGGAAGCTCTGGCTAGTCCAGGTCTTCATGGACTGGGGGAGGGGGACGGGAGGTAGGGAGAAGTCAGTGAGGACTGGCAAGATTGGGGATCCCCTCACCTTACCCAGTTTGGGTGGTTAACTATACACATTTAGCTAGTCCAATGAAGGAGATAGAAATATTCCACTCTAAATGTATTTCTTTGATGGATTCCCAGTTGGTTATTAGAGAAAGTGTGGCCCACTGCAGATGTGGGCAGATGTGGGCTGATTCTGAAAGCTGCTCTTTTGGGGAAAGGAACTGACATCTCTCCCCACCAGAGGAGTGCCCAGAGGCTCTGTCTCTCAGGTCCCATGCCTGTCTAGGAAGCAGAGCAGGAGGGACTGACTTCAGACAGACAGCCTGCCTTGCCTGGTCTCCCCGCGGGTCCCTGTTACCTGGGAAACATTCTCATCCCCTCCATGACTTGCATGGCCACCTCACCAGCTGCCTCAAATCCCTGTTTCTTCCTGTAGCGCATTATACTACGTAAGCTTCAGCTATCTGGCCTTTTCTTTAAACTTTTGACTTTGTACATGGCTCCTATATTGATGCATATATGAAATTTAGTTTGTTTTTCCTGTGAAGCCATTTCCTGTCAGATTATTTCATGGTCTAAAATTATCAAACCCTTCAGACGAGGGAAAAAGGAAAGTCTAAATCTTCCCTGGGCTAACAATGGCTTTTGTTCGCCTCTTCTGAAACAAAGCTGGGGGCTCCATTACCATGCTACCTGTCCAACACTCTGGGCTGCTGAGCCAAACCCTCAGACACACAGGACAGAGGGTTGACAAGAAAATCTAGGATGCCCCTGCTTGAGGACGAAGAGCCCCAACATGGCTTTTGCCTGCTGGACACAGTCAAAGCAAGCCAAGAAGGTTTAACTTCTAACCCTGAAAGCCTTGTTGTCCCCACTAGCGGGTCACTGCAGTCTGGGATCTCATGCAAGCTGAGACCTTTGGGGTCCAAGGATCACGGGGTAGCAGTGAAAGTGGCTGGGTGGCCAGTCAGCCTTCCTGAGGCAATAACCTCCACTCTAGCTGCTTCCCCATCTTGTCCTGTTGGAGACAGAGAAATGTTGCTCCCCTCCCCCATGGGATAGCTACCAACAGCTAGGCATTGGGTGGGCTCCCCTTTAGAAAGTGCAAAGACGGCGCATATTGTTTCCAAGGCAACAAGCCCTCTGAGCAAAATGCCTCTCTGAGCACTCGTGTTAGGGATGCGAGCCAGACGTCTGGGGACCTGAGAGGGGCCTGGGCCTCAGCCTTCAGGCTTCCCTGGGCCTTTCCAACAGTGTGTGAGATAATTAGCAGAAGCCAGAAGCAGAATAGAGAGGAAAGCGCCACCTGAAACAGCTCAGTTGTGAAACAGCTCAAAGGATGATAGCTCGCTAGCTAACTGCTCCTCGGTAACAATGCCAAAATATGAGTGGATTATGCTACAGCTGCAGGCTTCTTGGTAGGAGGCAGGGAAGGACAGCAACACAGACCCTGCAGGCAGAGACGGAAGGCTGAGGACTTTAAAGTCGTCCCCCACCCCAATGCTATCCTTGGCATTTTCTTTTTTCCTAGGCTGCAGGCTGCAGCTCAGAGGCAAGGATGCCAAAGGGTGTGTGTGAGGCAGACCTACAGACACACAAGGCCTTGCTGGGGGTGGGAGGCCTTGCCTGTTGTCCCTGAGCAAGAGGGCATAGATGGTCAAGAATCAAAGACATCACCTGAGTATACGCCACACATAGCCAAGGCTCAGAGGTTTCCCATTAGTGACCTCCCACCCCTACCCACTCTGGCCTGAGGCCTCTGGGGTAGGGTGCAGCTATGAGGATCCCTGTGTTTGACTGGACCCAGAATTCTCGCTTCTCCATGCCAACAGCCCAGGCCTCTCCAGAAATCAAAAACCCAGAAAGGATCTGAAGCAGAAAGAAACAAGGCTGGAGGCTGGAAGAGCTCTCACTCACAAAGAAAGA